GGTGTGTGCGGTCTACTATCATGTGTTATGTGTTGTCATTTGCTGTTTAGCCTTCTGTCTCTCCAGTCCTGTTTGCTGCCTTCTGTCTACTGCCTGCTAAGGGGTCCCGCCGCGCCACCAAACAGCCAACGGGGGGGGTGAACCTCAAATTCAGGCTGCTCCGGGCCACCCCAGGATTCTCATGGTGACGCCACTGCGCGGCCAGAACGGCCCGAGAGGCCTCCAAGATTGCCCGACGAGGCTCCGAAGAGAGCTTCAGGAGGCCAAGATGGCCCAAGATGGCCTCAAGATGTCCCACGATGGCCCCAAGACTGCCCAAGATGCTCCAAGACGGCCCAAGAGGCCTCCAAGAGGCCTCCCAAGAGGGCCCCACGAAGCAAACATCAAATTCCTAACGTTTATGAGGTTTTTGGCCTTCTCGCCTTTTCGGCTTTCTGGCGCTCCGAGACGGACCAAGAGGTTCCCAAGACCGCCCCACGACGGCCATACAAGGCCCCATGACGTCCCAAGAGGCCCCCAAGACGCCCCCAAGACGGCCGAAGAGGGCCTCCAAAAGTCCAAGAGGCGCCCCAGACGGCCTAAAAGGGCCCTAAGACTGCCCCAAGAGTGGCCCAAGAGGGAGTCCACGAACCGAAAACTCGACCTTTCCTCCCCGAAAGAGCCCTGGGAGGCCCCAAGGTGGTCCCCAGAGGCCTACAAGAGGCCCCCAAGAGGCCTCTAAAAGGCCCCAAGGAGACCCAAAATATTGTTTCCAAGATGCCCCAAGGAGACCCCCAAGAGGCCCCATGGAAACCCCAAGGGGCAGGAACCTAGGAGACCCCTAAGGGGCCCCAAGGAGACCCCCGCGCAACCGCCTGCTAGGGGGGCCGGCGGCAGAGGGCGAAGCCCTTAATCCGGCCGCTCCCGCCCGGCGGGTTGGGCCGTGCGAGACCTCTCTGACACAGTGTCTGGCACAGTCTTTGGCCCCCTTCTCCAGTGCCTGGTCAAAAACCTCCTGAAAGTCCCTCCGAGGGGGCCCCACTCTGCCGCCGGCCCCACTCTGCCGCCGGCCCCCTTCAAGGTCTCAAACGGCCCGGGGACGACCCAAGGGCGCCCCAAGCCGGTCCAAGAGAGTCCCGAGCAGTCCAAGAGAGCCTCCAGACGGTTCCAGATCGCTCCAAGACGCCCAAGATGGCCTCCAGACGGCCCAAGACGCCTTCAAGACGGCCCAAGAGGGCTCCAAGAGCACCCCCAAGACAGCCCCGAGAAGCAAAAATCATTGATTTTTCAATGGTTTTTGAAGGATTTTCACGTTCACGCCATTTCGGCTTACCCACGCTCCACGACGGCCCAAGAGGCCCCCAAGATCGCCCCAGGACGGCCCAACAGGCCCCCAAGACGGCCCCAAGACGGCCCAAGAGGGCCCCCAGACCGCCCAAGAGACCCCCGGGACGGCCCAAGAGGGGCCCCAGGATGGCCCCAAGATGAGGCCCAGAAGGGGAACCCGAATGAACATTTCGAGCTTTCGGCTCAAGAGGAAGAGGCCCCCTGGAGGCCCCCAACAAACCCCAAGAGAGCCCCAAGAGGCCCCAAGAGGACCCCAAGAGGTCTCCAAGAAGCCCCTGGGACGCCCCCAAGAGGCCCCTGGAGCGTCACGACGTTCGATGCTGCGCACCACTTCGACAAACTCCCAGGGACCGGCCAGTGATGCGCCGCCGGCGTCCTCGATCCGGCCGCTCCCGCCCGGCGGGTTGGGCCGTGCGAGACCTCTCTGACACAGTGTCTGGCACAGTCTTTGGCCCCCTTCTCCAGTGCCTGGTCAAAAACCTCCTGAAAGTCCCTCCGAGGGGGCCCCACTCTGCCGCCGGCCCCACTCTGCCGCCGGCCCCCTTCAAGGTCTCAAACGGCCCGGGGACGACCCAAGGGCGCCCCAAGCCGGTCCAAGAGAGTCCCGAGCAGTCCAAGAGAGCCTCCAGACGGTTCCAGATCGCTCCAAGACGCCCAAGATGGCCTCCAGACGGCCCAAGACGCCTTCAAGACGGCCCAAGAGGGCTCCAAGAGCACCCCCAAGACAGCCCCGAGAAGCAAAAATCATTGATTTTTCAATGGTTTTTGAAGGATTTCACGTTCACGCCATTTCGGCTTACCCACGCTCCACGACGGCCCAAGAGGCCCCCAAGATCGCCCCAGGACGGCCCAACAGGCCCCCAAGACGGCCCCAAGACGGCCCAAGAGGGCCCCCAGACCGCCCAAGAGGCCCCCGGGACGGCCCAAGAGGGGCCCCAGGATGGCCCCAAGAGGAGGCCCAGAAGGGGAACCCGAATGAACATTTCGAGCTTTCGGCTCAAGAGGCCCCCAGGAGGCCCTAAGAGGCCCCCTGGAGGCCCCCAACAAACCCCAAGAGAGCCCCAAGAGGCCCCAAGAGGGCCCCAAGAGGTCTCCAAGAAGCCCCTGGGACGCCCCCAAGAGGCCCCTAAACTGCCCCGCAGAAGCCTCCGAGAGCCCTCTCGAGAGACCCCAGGAAGCGTCCATGAGGACTCCGTCCGACCCAAAACCCAAGCACGGTGGCGGGATGGGGCGACGGCTATTTGATAGCTGGCATACGCGCCGCGTCACGACTTTCGATGCTGCGCACCTCTTCGAAAAACTCCCAGGGAGCGGCCGGTGATGCGCCGCCGGCGTCCTCGATTGAGCAGGGACCGACCGCCCCGGCACTCCTATAGGCCTACCACGACATGTTCTTAGAATACAAACATGTTCTTAGAACAAGAACAGCGTTCTTAGAACATAAACCCACTGTGTCAAAACAAGACAGTTCCTGCCAGGCATGTTCTAAGCACATCTCGTTGAAACCACAAGAGGTTCTTAGAACATTCTTTGGTAGGCCTATAGGCGAGCCAAGAAGCTTCGCCACTGCTTGACTTAAGATCAAGGAGCATGAAGCCTCTCGCCGCCGACCTCCGTCTGTCCCGGCTCCCCAGGGGCTTTTGGAGCCAGAGCCCGAGCCTCGGCGGCGAGCCGAGGGGGGGAGGAGGAGGAGGAGGAGGAGGAGGAGGAGGAGGAGGAGGAGGAGGAGGAGGAGGAGGAGGAGGAGGAGGAGGAGGAGGATGGGGAGGAGGAGGAAGAGGAGGAGCAGGATGGGGTGGGGGAGGGGGAGGAGGAGGAGGAGGAGGAGGAGGAGGAGGAGGAGGAGGAGGAGGAGGAGGAGGAGGAGAAGGAGGAGGAGAAGGAGGACGACGAGGAGGAGGAGGAGGAGGAGGGGGAGGAGGAAACAGTGCCCATACCTCGGCTGCGAGCGAGGGGCGCAAGTGATGAGGAGAAGCTCCCGTAAGACGAAGCCAGGACGAGGATAGCATCGGGTCAGGAGAAGTCAGCGGATCTCTGAGATCTGGCGGCTCTGGAGATTGTATCGGGCGCCGCGGCCTTCCCAGAGCGTTCCGGAACGATCTGGCACGGACTTGTCCTCGTCCTGGCCCCGTCTGGAGAAGGCCTTCTCAGCAGGCGGGCGGGGCTTCTCAGAGGCCCTCGCTCCTCCTGAGAGTTTTTTTTGCCCTCGCATTCGGGGAAGGCTCCGGGAACTCTTCTCAGCAGGCAGGGGGGCTTCCGAGCCTTCTGAGAAGGCCTTATCCTTAGGTCGGGCATGTCCCCCTGCAGGCATATCCTTAGGTCTGATTTTGGAGTAAATGAAACATTGGTCAAAACATATACAACACTTGTCAGAAATACTCGACAAATCGTCCCCAGACTATTTATTTGACTTTAACAAAAAATACTCATCATGTAGAAGGCCTGACTTGACCGTATCCTTCTCACTTCCCCCCTGGGGCTCGCCGCCGAGAACCGGAAACAAAACATGGCGACGGAACCAGGAACGAAAACGGCGCGAGAACCGGCAACCAAGACTGGGGAGTCTACAGTTAGGTCGGGCGTGTCCCCCATACGGGGGGATTTTGGACGACAGAATTTAAGCAGGGAAACATATTCAAAAAGTGTGCAAACATACTAAAGAAATCGTCCCCAAACTATTCAGCCACCCCACTGCGCCCATGACAAACAGGAGCAGATACTCCTCCCTTAGAGGGGACAACGTTACAGAGGAGGCCAGTCCACAAGAAAACTTCCACAAGGAACCCAACCCTGAGACCCCAGAACGTCCATTTATTTTTGGTGCGGGAACGACACGCTTTCCACGGCAAAACTTTCGAAATCCAAGAAACCCAAGGAACCCTTGAGGCAAGCAGGGTATTTCTTGGCATGGGCCTCCACCGAACGGGGGGGACCAGCTCAGGTTGCGTGTGTGAGTGGGGGGGACATCGAGCTGAGATCGGCGATGCATCGCAGATAGATCGGCCGTAGGCCCCCAATCGCCGACAGATCCGCACGTCCCTGGGCGGCATGGGGCCATCAGGCCCCTGCATCGGCGATGAACTGGCGATGGGGGGTCGATGCATCCCCTGCCTGACCCTATCCTCCCCCCACGTCGCCCCTGACCCTACGATGTTCCAAACTACTCCAGCCTTGATCACCAAGAAGAATTTCGAGCACCGAGAATGTACCAAAACTGGAGGGTTTTCACGTGTCGGGTCCTGGGAGGCGATACTCGTTCGACACTGTTTCGATACTTTTCTGGGTGCTCGAAATTATCTTGGGGATAGGGGCGTGCGAGAGGGGGGGCGCAAACCAGGGCTCGAGCTAAACAATGTTTTTCGTTTCCGTTTTGTGCTTGTTTTCCCTCGTTTTGTCTTCAATCCGCTTTTACCACAAAGCGAAGTCGAAACGACAACGACCCACGAGATCGCCAAAACACCCACCCCTAGCGCAAATCATGGCCCTCGGCACGTGCGCGGCCCTGGGGGGGGGGGCGGGGACGTCATGAGATGAGAGGAGGCGCCATGAAATCTGGGGACATCTCATGGCCCCCGCCATGATACCCACAGCCCCCTGCCGCCCCAGGCCCTCACACCCCCCAGCCCTGTTTCCCACGCCCTGGAGGTGCCCCTCTCCTCCCCTGGTCCTCCGACTGCACGCCCCACTTCTCCGAGAAGCCGTCCACGGCGGGAACGCCGGGCCTGGAGTAGTAGATGCAGAAATCCTCGCGTGCGCCGCTGCCGCGGGCACCTCCCTCGTCGTCCTGACCCCGAGCCTCTCCCCCCTCTCCTCCGCCTCTCTCGTCCCTCGCCGTCTTCCCTCTCCTCCTCCTTTCTCGCCTCTCTCGTCCCCTCCCGGTGCCTGGGCGCCCCCGACGGCGAGTGGACCTGGGGGCTTCTCCCTGGGGCCAACTCTTGGTGCTGACTGGTCTCCTGGCGGTCCTGGGGCCCGTGCCCCGAGATGGTGAGAAACCTGCAGGACCCCTCAGGACCCCCTCCGTGGTCTCTCGCATGGTCCCCTTGGCGTTCCCCAGGATGCACAAGCACATCGAACAAACACGCAAGACATCTGAGGGGCAACGATAGGGGGGGATAGGCATATGGGGGGGAAGCATCGACATGGAATCGGTGATGCATTACCGATAGATCGGAGATAGGCCTCCGATAGTGAATCCGCACCTTCCTGGGCAGGTTGGGGCTGTCGGGCCCCTATCGGCGATCAATGGGCGATTGGGAGTCGATGCGTCGTTGCCTCCGAACATCAGGGTACCCCCCTCCGAGCCGACCTCGATCTTATACTGAAGGGGCCCTTGGACACACAAATAAATACACACAAACAACAGGATCCCCCATATTCTCCCATATTCTCTGGGTTTTTGTCTCCCCCCCCACTCTTCCCATATTTTCCCACATTCTCCTGATAGTCGGCGATTCATCGTTGTCTGTGTTTCTTCCCCTCCTGAAATACCTCGCTCCGATCGTAAAAAAAGGTATCCGGCGCCGCGGCCGCTCCAGAGCGCTCGGAGGTGCTCTGGAGCAGCGTCGCCTCGGCCTGGGCCTCTGCCTGCATCATGTCCCCGCCTCCACTGCAGTCCGCCTGCCTCCCAGACCCAGAGGAGGAGGAGGAGGAGGAGGAGGAGGAGGAGGAGGAGGAGGAGGAGGAGGAGGAGGAGGAGGAGGAGGAGGAGGAGGAGGAGGAGGAGGGGGGGAGGAGGAGGAGCAGGAGGGAGGAGGGGGGGGAGGAGGAGGAGCAGGAGGATGAGGAGGAGGCGAAGGAGGAGGGGGAGGAGGAGAAGAAGGAAGGCTTTCTGCCAGAACTGTGCTCGGCAACGCACACTGGAGGAGGGGCAACGACGATGATGATGATGATGATGATGATGATGATGATGATGAAGATGATGGTGATGGTGATGATGCTGCTGATGATGATGATGTTGATGACGATGATGACGATGACGATGACGATGATGATGATGATGATGATGATGACGATGATGATGATGCTGCTGCTGCTGCTGATGAGGGTGATGATGATGATGATGATGATGATGCTGATGATGATGCTGATGCTGATGATGATGATGATGACGACGACGAGGACGACGACGACGACGACGATGATGATGATGATGATGATGCTGATGATGATGCTGATGCTGATGCTGATGATGATGATGAGGGGGATGATGAGGGGGAGGAGGAAGAGGAAGAGGAGGTGGAGGAGGAGGTGGAGAATAAATAGGAGGAGGAGGAGGAGGCGGAGGAGGAGGAGGAGCAGGAGGAGGAGGAGGGAGAGAGGGGAGGGGGAAAAAGGTGGAGGAGGGGGCGGAGAAGGGGGACACATGATGAGAATGGTGCTGCTGCTGATGGTGGTAGTGGTGGTGATGATGCTGATGCTGATGCTGATGCTAATGCTGATGATGCTGCTGATGATGCTGCTGCTGATGCTCATGCTTATGATGCTGCTGATGATGTTGGTGCTGATGCTGCTGATGATGAAGGGGGGAAGAGCAGGAGGAGGAGAAGGAGGACGGGGAGGAGGATGCGGAGGGGGAGGAGGAGGATGGGGAGGAGGAGGAGGAGGAGGTTGTTGGGGACGGGCCTGAAGCCAGATCACCTCCTCGTTCAGCCAAAATCGGACGCCTCCGAGTCTGACTCGAAACCGTTGTTCGAGGCTCGGAGGGAGGCGGCACCTAGGTCCTTGACCCAGGGTAAATCCGACACTGCAAGGCCGAACGAATCCAAAACCTGCTCTCGCGGGGCGAAGCCCACCGCGAAGCCAACAGTGGCAGGACCTGAAACTCCCTGGGGGGCCTGGCCATCTTCCTCCAGCGTCTGAGCCAAAACCCTCCGCTCGGCGAGGCTAAGGCTCACGTGAGCCCCCAGAGTTAAATTCTTCAGGTCCTTCTTGTACGACGGAAACTTGCCCTGCCGAATCCTTCTCAGCTGGTCGTTAATTCCGCCCGTCGTCGATTTGGGCCTACACAGGCCTTTAGCTCCAGCATTGGGAGCCCCAGAGAAAAAACGATCCGCACCGACAACAAAACTGGATCCTACCCCTGGGGTTTCCAGGAGGTTCCAAGACAGGGCAGGCCAAAAACGCATGACCGTTGGCCCGAAAAACTTGCCGAGAGAAGGGCCGCCACTCCTCCCCCAAGTCCAAAGAACCTCCCACCTCCCTTTGGTCGTCGGCCAGGGCCTGGCCGTGGGCATCATCGTCATGTGGGTGCTGCCGCTGGCCATCGCTGCCTGTCGACCTGGGCACTAGGCCCGTTGAGTCACGGGGCCCACTGGACATCGGCACCTCGACCGATCCAGCCCACCTGCAGGCCTCGCGGGCGAGGCACCTGAGGCCTCTGTACAAGTTGGCCTCATCGTCACTGACCCCATGACACTCAGCTCCTAATTTAGCGAACATATCAGCGAGCCCATTGGCCCGTCTTTCCCAAACACTGCTTCTGCCAGCCTCGACGTCGGCCGCAGTAGCGTGGCCGAGCGTCTTATGACACTCGAAATCGCTGAGAGTAAACGAGCTCCACACGGGGCCCCACAGATGACCACGGGGGGCTCCAGGGCCCTCCGCGAACCCAGGGCCCCGAGCCAGCGAATCCAGAGTGCTCTGGCAATCAATATAGCATTGAAACGGGGGAAGACCTACTTGCGTAAGCATATATACAGCATAGTCTTCCCCGTCTTTACTAGTTTGCTGCGGGGCCGCACTCAGTGGAACGGGGCCGTAAGCCGCCGAGATCAACTCCCCAAACCTGTCGACCGACACGATACTCCAACCAGCCCGAGTGAGCCCATCGAGGCCCATGTATTTAGCCGACCCGTCAAGGAAGAGCAACCCCGTCAAGTACCCCGTCTCGGGCCTCTCGTGCCAGTGAACAGATTGCGCGGGCTCCTCTACGTCGAAGAGCGAGCGAGGGTGAGGAAAGATGCACCTCGCGAACCTCTCCGCCATCAGCGGCCCGAACTGCTTCACTCTCCGCGCACACCTGCACAAGTGAACACTCGCAAGGTCTCGCCGCAGGACTTCATGCGCAGGGCACTCGTACTGACGGTGCCACAAAGTACCTGGGGCCCCCTTGCACACCTGACACTGATCATCATCGTGAAGGTTGTGAGCATGCAGTCGAGCTTGGGGCCAATGGACTCCCGAGACCAAGCCTCTTAAGCATCTCTGATGGTGCTTCCCCCAGTCTTCAGACTTCCCCCTGAACAACCTGGAAATACCATCCCAGAAGATAGGGTGCACAGGCGGCCCATCAAGGCCATTCTGCAAGTGAAGAGCATGTCTATCTGACGCTCGCACAGCACCTTGCCTGATCAAAGTCCTGACCTGCATCGGGGAAAGCCTGAACAAGTCGTGCACCACATTCAAGTCATCTTTGATGGTGTGCTGGTCTACAAAGTCCCAGCCTATCCCTCGCAACGTTAAAAGCGCGACGTCGCTGGGAGAAGACGCTGACCTCCAAGGCTGAGCTGAATTCTGAAACTTGGCGATCGAGACCCTCATGGTATTGGCCAACACCTGAACGTGAGGGACAGCTTCCCAAACAGCAGTGGCCCACATAAAAAGAACGTGCCCCACATAAACCACCAGAGGGTCTACCTTGGCCCCGAGCCCGTACGTGTACATCCTGAGCCCAACCGAAGCACCTTTAGGGAGCCTGCCTAGGGAACTTGCAGCACCAATACGGAGCCCAGCCATTTTTGTAGGGGCCACCCCAGAGACCGAGGATCCCCAGAGGGCCGATGCCACGGGCCCCATCCTGTGAACCATACCGATGTCGGCTCCAGCTCCTTGCAATATCTTGAGCCTCCTGGCCCTGCGCGAAGCACCTGCAAACCTTGAGTTTTGAATTCCAATCCTGCGGAGGCCTCCCAGGGTAGCGTTGGTCCCAAGATTCCGCGCCGTGTCGGTGCGGCACGAGGTAGGAAGGGACCAGGCCTTGGACAGGTGCGCCTCAACCTCCTTCGAACAGAGGTAGGCACACTTCTTAAACTCCACGGGAAGCTGCAGCTGCTTGAAGCTCTTGAACAGAGACTCTACTCCACCAGCCAATTGGGCCGCAACCTGAAGCTTGGGCCCGCAACTCTGAACAGTGATGTCGTCCACCACATTGCGCACATACAACAAGTTCCTGCTCTCACGGGCCTCCAAGAGCGGTCCTAGAAGCAACATCTTGGCGAAAGTCGTGGCCCCCGAGCACCCGGCTACGATCGCCCCGTTCGACTCGACGACGGCCGACGAAGCTCCCCCGTAAAGAAGCACACGGTAGCCTGCATAGATGGTACAGTAAGCTTTGACCAACCTAACTGGAAAGCCAAACCGTTTAGCTGCAATCAGAAGGTCCCCGTGGTTGACATTCTCATAGAACTTAGCCAAGTCCAAGAGTGCCGACGCTGATTCGAAACCTGCTTTACGACAATGAGCCCCGAGCAAGTTGTGGACCCATCCAGCCCTCTCACACGTAGTGTCGGGCCCAGAGCCCCAGAAAAACTCGTACACGTGGGACTTTTCCCATGAACGGCAATACGGCTGCCTCAAACGGCTCCAGAGCTTCATGAAAAGGCAGAGCAATCCGATCGGCCTGACCCCTCCCGTCGGTTTGTCCAAGAAAACCACATTGGTCAGAAACATCAGGAAGGCCCCAGGGTCAACCTCGAAAAGCGTCAAAATCTCCAGAAGACGAAACTGATGGCTTTCGGGCAGCTGCAA